TGATCCAAGCCTCCTGGGGGGAAAGCCCAGGGTGGGACCCTAGCACTGGAGGGATGTTTGAACACCTGGTGAGCTCAGGGATTAAATTTCAGGTTGCACCCTATTTGTTTTTTCACCATCCGGTCCCATGAGGCCTGTACCTCCTCTGCCTGCTATAGATGAAGGAAAAGTTGCCAAATATTTTGTCTCTGCTGAAGCAGCCTTCCTTCTCATGCCTTCCCTCCCCCGCCTTCAGCCCCATCTTTTACATCTGTTGTATGTGAAATCCAGCAAACTCTCAGCAGAGCTCATTACTCACGGCCCACTGCTCTGAAGAGGGCTGAAAGGTCCTGCACGTAATGATTTGGAGGTGATTTGTATTTAAGATGCTTGGTTTTCAGATGCTGGGGGAGGAGGAGGGAAATTAAATAATTAAAATCTGGTGGGGAAGGGATGTGGAGAATCCTGGATAGAGGGAGAGGGCAGCAGCTTTTCCTGATCCAGAAGTGTTTGAGTTAATAGTTATCAGTTACACAGAGGCTGGGTTAAAACCTAGGAGTGGAGGAAAGTTATAGAATCAATTGTGTTGAAAGAGACCCTTAGTGGCCATCATTCCAACTCCCTTGCAGTGAGGAGGAACACCCACAGCTCCATCAGATGCTCAGAGCCCCATTTCTGAGGGATGGGGCATCACCACCTCTCTGGGCAAAATCTTCCTTGTGCCTATATAGAATGAGAGCATGCCTCAGGCATGGGGAAAATTGGTCTGTGTGGAACAGACTGCCATAGCAGTCTTGGTGGTATGTGGTCACGTTTTCAGCAATAAAGCCAATTTACCTTCTCACATCTTTGGGAAATCCTGCTGGTCCCAAGTGGTTGGCAAACTGCCTCCAAAAAGAGTGAGCAAGGCTGGAGAGTAGTACCCATGCAGGGCAGGCTTGGCGGCTCTGAGTCATACAAAGAATGTGGCTTGCTGATACGAAATGTGCAGTATGATCCTCATGGAGCAGTTCTCAAGGTCTCATAGCAAAGGGAGAACCCATGGGTGCAGCTCATTTTGGGTGGAGAGACTGAAGCACTGAGGGTGGGAATTAATTGCTTAGGAAAAGATCTGGTCATGTGAATGCCACTTGCCTGGAAATTCAACAAACTTGGCTATAGGGCTGGACTTGGTCTAAAACAGCTGTATTCCGCAGAAGTTCCATGCAGCCCATTTCCTTCTCTTTTGAACAAATGAACAAAAAACCTTTGTCTGATTCCTCATGGTGGGTCCCAGCAGGACTTGTTGGCTTCTGAAAGCCAAGGGACACATTCAGGGTTCATTCTGCCCTTGGACTTGAGGCTTCACTTCCAAGGGCTGCCTTTAACCCCGACCCGAACTTGTGCCTGGGAGGAACCTGTACCTTACCCTGGCAAACCCACAGGTACAGATTTCCTTCCTGATGCCAACAAGCTGCCAACAAGCCCCTGGTCCCTGGAGGCATGCAGATAGCCCATTAGAGCTGGGGAGGCCACTTTTATTCAAATCCTCCAGCCTCAGATCTGAGAATCAAGTCAGATTAAGCTGCCTGATCCAAAGCTAACGAGTTGGGGAATTAGAGGCAGAAATCAATAGCTTGGGAAGATCTAATGCTTTTACACGTGCTGACCATGTATTTACTGGCTCTGTACAAGGAGTGGGTAAGTCTGAGGAACGTCCCCTTAATTCTGGTGTTTAAACCCATGCAGGTTCTCCCCCCGATGTCATTTTATCTCCCAAGGCACAGGTACTGGAAGTTGTTTTTTGTCTGCGTCTTCTCTGAGCATCACACTTTCACTGGGAAATACAGTGCTGGAGCTATGAGCCCGGCCTTGGTACAAATAAGTGTAAGAAAATTAGTTTCTCTTAATCTGCCTGAATACCTCAAAAAGCCTTTTCTGCTGATTTCTGGGGCGAGGACAAACAGCACTTTTGTTCTCCCTCCCCCCAGCGCTCCCAGGCTGTGCAGCTGGTGCCCCGCTCTGCCCGCAGCAGGAGGCTCTGTCTGTCCGTCCCTCCGTCGCTGCGTCCAGCAGTTGGAGCGGGTGCTGGCAGATGGCTGGGGAAGAGCAGGGCTTTCTCTTTGGAGGCTGCGATTAAAAGCGCTCCAGTGATGCTCGTGTGGGCTGTGGGTTGTTGCTCCCAGCAGCCGCTCAGGCTCCATTGGGGAGTTAAAAGGGGAGATGTTAGTGTAGCAATGGAAGGTGCTGTTGGAGCCCAGATCGGATCCCAGGCTCAGCAGCTCGCTCACAGTGCTCGTTGTGAGCACTGGTGCCCAGCAGATACAGCCCAAGCCCTGGCTTAAGGGTGATGCTGAAACAGGTAAATCATTTCAATTTCAGCAAAAGAAAAGTGTGTATTTAGAAGCAACCATTCTGATGTTTTTCTAGCTTCCAGCAATGGAGCATTCAGGGTGTCCCATATCAGCAGGTTAACTTGTTGCCTTAAACATCTTGGAAAACGTATTATGTTGCACATAAAGAATAAATAGAATAAAGACAAGAGATGTCTGAAGTATGGCACTGGTAGAAATATTTTCCTGGAAAACAAAAATCAGTGGTAAATAGTGTATTGCAGAGCTGCACACGAGCAGCTGGAATGAGCCCTAAATATTTATTATTAATATCAAAGCTGTTTATTTTTTGACATATTAAATAGGTCATATATCTCATCTAATAAAACCTCTGTGTAAAACGCTGGCTCTGCTGGGCTGGGAAAAGATTTTCTTTTGAGGTCTGAATAGAGCGAGAATGTAGGAGTTCTTACATTACTCAGAAAATAAAAATTAAAGCCTTTGGTCATATTTGCTCAGGTTGGTAAGATTCTCCTTCCCCTGTGACCCAGAAGTGTGCTCAGAATAGAGGATATGGGTTCAAGTCTTGTCTTATCCAGGGATTCCTTGTGTCAGGATGGATAAACCACTTAACCTAGACTGGGTTTCATTCTAGAAATGGAACTGCACCAGTGCACCCACTGGGATGATAAAAGTGATGGGGAGGCACACAGTGACAGCAAGTACTCTTCTCCCCCTTAGGAGACATCATTAAGCAAATATCTACAAAGCTGCCCCAGCTTCAGAAGCCGAAAGCTCAAAGTTGGCTGGATGCTTAAGGGCATTAGGACCTAGTTGCTGCCAAGCCTAAGTGTTGGGGGTGGAAGAAACATTGTACAACACCCCCTGCATTTTAAAATGCCCATCCAGTGGCATTAACCCCACATCAATCTGCCTAAGTCTTCTAGGAGTTCAGGACAGTTGAGTATCCTCACTAAATTTCTTTCCAAATGCAATGAAGCCTCTATTCCTAGCCTCTCAGCAATGGCACTGAGATGGAGAGTTGATTCTCCTTTAGCCACCAAGTGGTATTAACCCATATCCACCCTTCCTGCCTCAGTTTCCCCACCTTCCAAATGACAAATTTCTTTTTGCTCTAAGAGTTTACTATAACTGTATTAACAATCCATGGCCTTAGAATCACAGAATCACTAAGATCATTAAGTCCAACCATCAATCCATCCCCACTAAACCACGTCTCTCAGTGCCACACCTCCAAGGAACACCTCCATGGATGGTGACTCCATCATTCTCAGCCTGTGCCACTGCATTACTGCTCTATCTGAGAAGAAATTTTTCTTAATATCCAACCTGAGCCTCCCCTGGCACAACTTATGGACATTCCCTCTCTTCCTATTACTAGTTACCTGCCAGGATTATAAATATAGGAGAGCAGAGTTGGGAAGTGTAAGGGACATGAGTGAAATACAGGGGTTTCAACAAGTCTTGAGGGTTGTGATAGGCATTTGAGTTTAGTTTGCTGCCTTCAGACAGGTGGTGGTGTTTCTGAAGGACAGCTATTTCCAGTAGGTCTGATACATTTTTGTTCTTCAGAGCTGTAAGCAGCGTTGGTTGAGCACGTCTTCCCCTGCTGCATCCTTGTGAATGCCCAGCCTCATCACCTCTGGTCCCACCATCCTCTTGTGGATACCTTTAGGGCCTCCAACCATCTGCAAATTCTCTTTGCTATTTCTTGATTTGTTTTCTGCCCAATCCAGACCTCAGTACAAAAGCCAGCCCTGGACTCTCTGAGTGAAGCATCCTCACTGGCTGAGCTCATTATCATATCTTGGTAGAGATTCTGGTTTTTCAGCTGATTCAGTTTGTACTCAAGTCAGACTATGCATGTGTTAGCACACTCACTGGCCTGGCTTGGCTTTGTATATGTTAGAGCTTTACAAGATGGGTTCCAAGTAGGATTCAGGGTGTGTTTAACCAGGGCAGATTCAACCATCTTTATTTTCATAGAATCGTTAAGGTTGGAAAGACCTCTAAGGTCATCTAGTCCAGTCATCAGCCCATTATCACCATGCCCACTAACCATGTCCCTCAGTGCCACATCTTCACATTTCTTGAGTCTGTTGCAGTGCCTCATCATTCTTTCTAAGAAGAAATTTTTCCTAGACTAGAAATTTTTCAAGACTAGAAATCTCATTATTCCCACTGACTGCTGCATTGAAACTTACATGCTTCCCCAAAAAACCACGGAACCCCCTCCAGAGGAAAAAAAAAAGCTTCTGCCACCCAAATCCCTCCTCTGTATTCTTGACATTGGCTACGCTATGTGTAAATTCACTCTGTGCTGTTAACTCCTGCGCTAGGGCTGAGCTCTTTTCAATGTGCCACGTAAACGCTGCTCACCACGTATTTACATTGAACGTGTTGCCCCACTGTACATTAACATTTAAAACAAAATTGCCAGCCCCATCACAAGCATCACTCTGAGGGAAGGCAGCACAGCATAGACATCATGTAAGTAATTTGTTCAACATTGGTGATAATAAGCTACGCGGAGCAATAAGAACATAAACACAGGGCTTTGTGTGAGTGTGTGTGTTTATTTTTTTTCTCCCTTTTTCTTCTTTTTCTTTTCTTTTCTTTTCTTTTTTTTTTTCCTAAGGAACCTCTGAGGGAAAAAAAAAAAGAAGAAAAAAAGCCATGAATGATTCATAGATGCAAGGGGGGAAAAAGACGAAGAGAGAGAGGGAGAGAAAGAGAGATTAAGAGAGAGAAGCTTCAAAGTGACTGGAGCGGATTTGAAGTCCTGAGCGTTCCTGTGCTGGGCAGGCCAGCAATTCACCAGAGAGACCCCGTCAAGCTCCCCCCATCCTTCGCCCTGGCCTCATCCCTGCTGCCTCCTCCTCCTCCTCCTCACCGCCAACGCAGCCTCCCAGTCGCAGGTTCAAAGTTCAGCAGCATCTAATGATGGGAAGGCCTCCCAAACCCTCTGTGAGTGGCATCTGTTTATAGGCACGGCCCTTCCCTGGTGGTTTAGCCTGGCTTAAAATAAAGTAAAGTAAAAGAGGGGGAGGAAGAGTGGAACAAGATGCAGGGTTCTTTAAAAAAAAAAAAAAAAGTATAAAAAAATCTACTGGTGATGAAGTGCCTTTGATTCTGAATATTAAAAGAGCCCATTAGATTTAAATGTAGTGAGAATATTAACGCTACTGCCTTGATTTGTATTCACTGGCTACCACGGGTACACTTTGGGAACGTGAAAGAAAAATATGGCTCATTACTGGGTGGGATGCTGGCTTTCCCAGCAAGGAGCAGCCAGAGACAGAGGGCCGGGTTGTCTCCTCTCCATCCTGTGCTCCTGGCCATCAGAAGCATGGGGGCTTCCAAAGGCATGACTGGTGGGATCACCACCTGCATGGTTAAAACTCATTATTCTTTTGCAGAAAGAACTTGGCATTTCAGAACTTGGTTCTGCTGTGACCAGAATTAAGGAGTATCCTCTTCCAGGTAATCCAAGTCTCAAAATTTTTGTTTCCCCTGTTTTATTTAATGTAATTACATTTTTGCTCCTTCAGCTTAATGATATAATAGAATTAAATGCATGAGCTATCATGGCAGACCTGCAGAGGAAGTGAGTGAAGTCCAGGGCAAATCCTTTAAGACCTGTTTTTGTTTATACGTCACAAAATAAATGACACAACAATGAATGGCTAATACTCTAATTAGCATTACATGCTGACTTTATTTTATTAATCAAAGGCTGTAACAGTCAGTGGCCTAATGAAACAGCTTGATGTTTTAATTCTTCCAAAAGAGAAAAAGAGATAAGGGCTCGGCGCTAATTAGAGTAGCAGCTGATTTCTAGAAAAAGAAAATCTGAAATTGTTGCCTGGCTAAAACAAGGATATCAAACACTGCAAATATTCCAATTTACAAAATGAAAAGAACAAAAAATAAAACCAGAAGCTTTTAAGATGTTAAGAATAGAAGAAATAATAGGTAGCTATACTGTCATCTCATAGTATGTCCTGAGTTGTCATTAGTACTACCAAGTACTGGGACATGAGGTGTTCCAAAAGAAATAGAAAGAAATCATATTGAACAAATAACACTGTTCCAAGTATCAGACCTCAATTAATATTTGTATCATCGTGAAGTTTCAGGAATTTCTGAAATACTTTTAGGATTTCCAATACCCTAAATCCAGTGGAAATCAGAATCAAAAATTCTGGCAAGAATATTTTCATTTTGGCTTGAGCTTTTTTGGAAGGAAAACTTCAGTGCTGAGGTTTTCTAAGGGGCCACATCTAAGCAGAGAGTGGACAGTTATTGGAACCTCTAAGGAATAGGTGCACAGAAGAGGTTTGTTGTCTGTTTTAACGGGTGCCTCCCTGGCAGCGTGATTCCTCCACGCAGATGGCCCACTGCTTAGCTTGTTCCTGGCAACTGGAAAGACAGTGTGGATGCAGACTGGACAGCCACACTGTGGGTGTTCCTCACAAACAGCCAGCTGCCGAGTCTCAAAAAATTAAAGAAAAGTCAGACTGGAGTTGGAGCGAAGCAGCTGATCTCACCAAATCAACAGCAAACATTGCCTTAGACAAGTCTGGGTTTCCTCTCACAGTTCTTTAATCAGTCTCAGCATACAGGTGGATTACAGGTAAGGAATAATTCATCGTCAGCATGAGGTCTGGGTACATCAGGACACATTGACAATGATGTACTGATCAGTCCATTATCTCAGGCTTCTCTTGTTCAGCTCTTGGCATGTTAGATCTGGGCAACCACTTCTTTGGTTGTGAGCTTACCCAACTTGCCTGCTGGACTTGCTGTGGACATGTGTCACTCAATGTGACATCTACACTTTTCTTGAACACCTCCAGGAATGGGGACTCCACCACCCCTCCATACAGCCTTCTGATCATCTGCAGAGCTTACTGACCACTGTGTCCGAATCTCTAGAGTAACTGCAGAGCAGGCAGGGCATAGCAAATTTGCAGAGCAGATGGTCGGAGACATTCTTGGACTTCAAACAGAGAAGTCTAAGGAGAGGGACCAAGCATAACTCCACTCCAAATTTGTTGGTAGTGCCTTGAAAATCTCATGCCTATGCATAATGACTGGTGTAAAATGGATTGTATCACCTCCCAACTCCTCACTCTCGGTGTCTGAGCTGAAGTTTATTCTTTTAGCAAAAGCTTGTGAAGTGGTTGATCTCAATGATGTTGGACCAGCTTGTACTAGCAGGACTGTGCGGGTACATTGCCACTGTGTAATGTGATTTCCCCCAGAGGAAAATTCCTTTGCAATGCACAGGCATATAAGGAAGCACAATTAACTTCTCTGGAGGAGCCTAAAGCCTGCTTTCCTTGAGTGTTGTGTAATTAAAACCTCAGTCTTGTTAATACATTAGTGAGATGTTTGCATATAATTCATCAAATGTTTATGAAAATGCGTAACAAATAATCTTGACAAACAAGTTGCTTAATTGAGATAAGGGATGGGAAGCCTTGTGAATTTTTAATAAAAAGGGGGAAAGAAAGCACGCTACGTTAATCAGATGAAGTTATCTCATTCAATATTTTCAAGTGACTTCTCCAGTGCACATTTTATTTAATATATTATACAAAAGGAATAACTTGATCCCCCAATGAGATCTGTGTAGAAAATCCTCTCTTGCAACAAACAGCATTTGGCTTAAGGCATTCCCGAGCTATTGATCAAAATCCTATGTTTTTGTTCTTGACAGATAAAAACACTGAAATTTGCCTGGGATTTGCACTTGCTCTAGCTGGAAGAGGAATGGCCAAGCCTGAGTGTCTTACTCCAAGTAGGTAGTTAACTGTTGAACAGAATCAGCAATGGCATCAATATACACACCATGGAAGCTGGTTAAGCTCTGGGAAAAAGAGGGGTTCCATTCAGATTAAAAGCTTCTTACCCATTTGATCAAGTGAGAACAGAGCTGTCCCACCATGACCACCTCCTCCATGGCTAATACCTTCCCACCATACTTTTTTTCTGTTAGTCTGTTCAGTTCATTGACACAGCAAAGTTCAATTAGGCAAGTTTATTTTTGGCCTGAACTTTGCTTGGTAATTCCTGCTTCTATTTCAGTCTTGAAAAAGCTTTTGACTCCTAGAGCCTCCTTGTCTTGCCCAAAGGTGTCAGGCTCTTTTTTTTCTAACTAGTTTGCAATGGCTTGGAGCAAGAGTGTGTGAATCTGTTCCTATTACAGCACCAGTGTAAGAAATCTCTATCTACTAGATAGATACCTATGCACCATAGGGAGAGACAGTCTGGACCCAGATTAGCTTGCTTTTCCCCCACCCACCTCCTTAAAATTACAATGGAATCTTACAAATATTTAAACCTGAATCCAATGGGAAGAGATAATGGACTAGATGGTTCAGGGGCAGTGCTTCCCTCTCCTCTTCCTTCTTGTTCTATCATGTGTGGGGTAGGAAGAATAAATCCCACTTCTCTCCTTGGTCTTACACCTTGACCAGCTCTGTGGAGAGCATGACTGGGTTGTAATGGAAGGGATGGAATGAATGAGTTTGGTGCCAGCTTGGGTGGGGATTTGAGCAACCTGGTATAGAGGAAATGTCCCTGCACATGGCAGGGGAGGAAGAAGATGACCTTTAAGGTCATTTCCAACACAAACCATTCTGTAATCCACAGAATCATAGAATCCCAGAATTATAGGAGTTGGAAGGGACCTCTGAAGTCCAATTCCATCTGCCTGCTCGAGCATGTTTGATGATTCTATGAATACCCATGGAGGACAAAGGAGGAGCAGTGGAATAAAGTCCTCGTTGTCAGCCGTGGTGGAGTTTGCTGACCATGCTGACAATTCCTCCTCTTCCCAAATGTCACTGTCACTGTTGCACTTCTGAGCTGATGTTTTGGTATTTGTCTGACTAAAGACTTTCCAACCTCCAACCTGTAGAGGCTTTCTTGGCCTCTACACTGGGACTGATTATTTATTTGTTACCAGCCTCGTGGAGGGCAAGTTTCATTCTGAACCATGAAAACCTGCTGTTCAGTAGAGTTCAGGGTCAATAATACTAATTCTCATCCCAAACACCACTACCATCATTGGCATTAGATCAGAAATGCCTGCGTCTTGGATGAATACAGTGTTAAATCTGACCCATCAGATCTGGATTAGAGCACCAACACATCATCTTTCAGTCGTTTTGTATTTTCCTACTGGGCCCTTGTGTCTCCTGCACAATCCTCTCATCCCAATTCCTTCCATCATCTTGTCCAGCTGCAGCCATCCAAGCACATCATGTAGGCATCTGTTGGTGGCCAGAAGCAGACAAGAGGAAGCTGCAATTAGGAGCTGGAGGTGAAAATTGCTCAGAGTCAACAAAGCTCACCCTGGCACGTATGATTGCACTCCAAAGGTACTTGCACAGAGCAAGCCAGTGATGAAGAAACATAGACTACGTAGTTTAAAAAGCTCCCAGCCCAGAGTCAGCATTTCTACCCTGACCTGCCTCATGTATTATTTAGCACGGACTTGTTGATGCGCACTTATATTTTTTTCCCTGTGGAGTTGATGATCTTCCTTCCCCTTAACAGCCTTGCTGCTCTCTCTCTGCACAGACGCCATCATCAGTGGGCTGTGGATGGACCAGGGCTGGGCAAGTGCTCACCACTGGGGTTAAAGAATGCAGGGTTAGAGGATGGGCACCATGGCCATACCGGCACTGGCAAAGGTAGGGGAATGAAGTGTGCGGCAGAGATGGGAGAGGGGTCTATGGAAGAAAGAGAAGTGGGAGAAGTGCAGTTGGAAGTGAGTGGTGTTAATGAAATATTCAGCAGTGGTGGGCCTAGACGCATTGCCGAAATTGCAGAAGCAGAGATGATTAATATTTAACAGGGTAAGCTGCCACTTGGCTGCTTTCTGCACATAGATTCCACCCCCACGTACACACACACCACCTCCCTCCGACTTCCCACCCTCTGGCTCCCCCAAACTCTGTCTTCTGCCACTCTTCTCTGACTCAAGCCAATGGCTTCTACCACCGTGCTCTGCTTGGGGGAGGTTCTCAGACCCTCCATGAGGTCTGCACAAGGGAGATCAGGTCCAAGGGCTGCCTGGTGGGAAAAGTGCCAGGACGGGGGGAAGGTAGTTGAGAGAAAGCACATCATTTATTTTTCATGTGGATGGGAGAGCAGGTTGTCCTATTTAGTCACATTAGATGCTCTGTTAACACAACAGGAAGAAAAAAAAAGAAATAGAAAGGATGGATTAATGCTTGCAGCAGAAGGAGACTGTTCTCTGGTTCTCTGGGCAAACAGGAACTGGTCTTTCAGGGGGTTAAGTGTTTTGGCTCCAGTTGTGTCTCCCATGGGGTGACCCATGTAGGTGATGGACAGCTGAGAAAGGGAATGTGCAAGGCTCTTCATCAGCTGGTTTGGTGCAGGTGGAATGGCCCTAGTGTGGACTGATATTAGGTATACAACCACCCACCCCTTCATCTGCAGGGATAGGTGATTCCCTACAAACTCTCCTCATGAACATCTGCACAGTTTCCTTCTGGTCATTTTGCAAACCCTCCTGAAACTCTTCTCTGCTTGGACACCTCAGGAGATGTGACAGTGGTTGTACTGTTAGTGTGCTCAACAAGGTGTCACTGCATTTTGAGCTTTTTAGAAATCAGTGTCCTTCCATCTGCTGCCTTCTGTTGTGCGTTTAGGGAGGTGCTGTTCAATCTAGGAGTCACCTCTGTGTTCAGGATCTTTGACGCCCTTGGTACAGATAAGTCTTAGCCCATTTGTGCAACCTCAGTGCTGTAAATCAACTGATTTATTAAAAAAAAAAATAAAAATTACAAGAATATTTGTGGTCCAGCTACTTTCTGGGGTCATTAATATGAAAATGACTTGGAGTAAATGAGTGTATTAAGTTGCAGCTGGGACTTGGGAAGATGTAACAAGTCTGAGTCAATACAGACGAGATTTCTGAGAGCAGGCTCGTGTCCCAGGTTCTGCAGATATACTCAGTGAGTGAACACAAATCATGGGACAGGTACATAGGCTCTGTACAAATCACAGTTTCTTTAAGAACAAAGTATGTTGTGGAAAATCTGGTCTTATCTAGCTCTGTCCATGAAATCAGGGAGGAGTGTCCCACTAGAAAGGAAACCAGGATGTTTCAGTGAATTTTGAGAAGCTGAAGAAAACTAAATGAGGGTATGAGGAAAATCACAATACATATTTTCTTTCTCCCTGTATGTTGGTCTGTATTTGAAATGTTAAAAACACTGAAGCAAGATCTTGAAGCCTTCTGCTTGGCTTCAGTTCCAGGACCAGTTTTCAGGTATTTGAGCCAATTAAGCATCATCATGTAGTCCACTGCCTTCACTCTTCAGCTCAAGGCAGAGCAGCAGCATACTGGAGGAGCTCTTGCGTGCTTCAGTGAAATGACCATCTTTTCCCATGCATATCAGGATGTGACCCAAAGGAGAGAATGGAAGGTGCCCTGGAGATCCAGGTAGCAGTTCCAAAAATGGAAGCAAGGGTTGTTCATATCTTACAGAGACAGAATCAACCACTGGACAGAAAGGAAATCATTGACAACGTGGCTACTCGATTAAATATACAGTTTAAAGGAAGAGGAGTCAAGGTTGTTGAAGAAATAGAATAGGATGGCCATTTGCTTGATGTTCCCCATGCCTGATGGCTGTACCCACTCATCCCTTCTGCTGCCATGCCATGGCAAGGATTAATGGGCATGGATGTAGAACGTGAAAACCGGATGCAGGCAGAAGCCGGGCCGTCTGTGGCAGGAGGAACCCCTGTCGAACGTCCCAGAACTAGTGAGAACAGACAACTTGATTTCTATTGTGTAAGTGGGGATTTGTCCGCAACGGTACAGTAACAACTAGAATTAGAAAGGAAGAAAGAGTGAATTCTTCTTTCATCCCAAGTGTGTTCCCTCCAGGGCAAAGGTCAAGTGCATTGTGTGGCCGTGTTCGGATTCAGAATAAAATAAGTGACAAAGGCGAGAACCTGGGGCACGCACAGGGACTGAATAAAGAGAAGTGTGGGCTAGACACCAGAAACCACTCTCTCACCCTAGGGGTCATTAACATGTGCAATAGGTGACCTCATGACATGGTGCGGGGGCAATAGAGACACTAATGTGAGTCATTTATATGCTGGCTTGAGTGTATTCAGCTATCGATAACAGCATTTTTCTGAGCATAGTGACCAGCTCCTCTGGTAAAATGGAGATTGTCCCACTTGCTCATGCAGTATGCCAGCAGTTACTCTCAGCTGCTCAGATGTCTTCCCTGTTTCTCCATAGGAGAAAAAGGAAAAAACAAAAATAAAAATAAAAAGGCAGTGCACAGATTGTCTCCCTGTTCTGTACAGAATCCGTAGACAGAGTCCATTCTGTGCTTTCTAGAGAAAATGCTAGGCAAAGGCTTCAGCATAAAGCATGAAGTGCTGATGGAGGTGAAGTTTGTCCAAAGCTTTTTTAGAGAGAGAATCTACTGACCTAATAAAACTCTGGTAAATGGAGCAGGATGGAGGCCTCAGAAAACTCATCTTTTGTTTTGAAGGTTGTAAACCCCTTGCAGGTAAACATCTGTCTTACCATTCCTCAGCATCTCCTTTGCCCACCTCCTTTGCCCTGACTAGCTCAATGCTGGCTGATTCGCCTTTAGCTTGTTGTCTGACATGACACCAAAGTAGGATGCTGCACTGCACAGACCTCGCTTTCTTGGCTAAGGGTGGTTGAGCTGGCTCCTGGCATAACAGAAACAGTTGTGGAAGAGGTGAGGGCAGGTGTTGTTTAATTCATGAGAGAGTTTCAGGCTGCACTACATATAGAATAATGTATACATATAGAAACTCTACAGTGGTGCAAGTCCTTATGTCCTTAGTTCTATCTTCCAGCATCTCCGTCATCTGCAAGGAAGCTCTCAAATGTCACCTTTTGGCCTTCTGAAATCAGATCAGCTGGCTCCCACTCTGTCTGAAATGAAATCTCCACCATGGGATGGCTGGTATGTCCCTCTTTTCAGCTGGAACAAGGTAAGAGACGGAGCCTCCCTGTGTAAAGAAGTGCTGGTCAGAGAAATGAGCATATACCCTGAATTGAAGGCTAGCCCCAGCAATACCCACCTCGTAAGCACACTTTGGGTGTGGAGAATTTGCATCGTTGCAGGCATTTCTGCAATAAGCCTGCTAGTTTATCCTAGTTTTGTGAACAACTGTTGCCTGCATCGTAGTGCCTTCTCTGTGTGCATGCACATCTCCCTGCTCCACCACAGTAACAGCTAATCCCACAGGCCAATGTAACAAATTTGGCAGGAATATACAGACCTCAGTGACGTGGTGATCCTGAACATTTCATGGAAAATAAAGAAACTGATCCCATGAGCTTATTGAACGAGGGTCTGTTGTCTCAGGCCAGCACTCATCAGGCACCTGAAAATCTGCCCGGCTGAGGTCCTGAATGCCCCAAATGCCTGCCCCTTAATTATATATAAGAGACTCCTGCCACACAATGCAAACTCATTGTGGAGCAATGTTCATTTAGCTGGTGGCCCACCAAGCGTTTGGTGATCCTCCAGGATGAAGCACTTGTCCTGTGTGCAGCTTCAGTACAAAATCAAGTCTTTTCCTCTACTTGCTAAGAAGAAGATGCATGAGTGGAGGAAAATATTGTGATGCTGAACAGAAGAGCAACTATTTTCTGTCCTGTCCTGAGTTTTAGTGCTTAGAGTGAAATTTACTACCATAAAACGCAGTGAAGAGCTTCTGTAGTACTATGACACAGCTTCAGGCTTGACCAAAAGAGTTCCTTAGACTACTGACTGATTTCACTTATTTATTTATTAGCCAAGGGCTCCTTTGAGGTCCTATCATCTCATTCTCAACTGAATTTCAGATAACCTTTCTTCGAGCTTAGACTCTTTGTAGCTGGCCAGTTTTAAAGATCGGTTTGAGCTGCAGACTTCAGATTTGAAGCTGGATCTGGATTTGGGATTTTGGTTCTGACCTATTTCATTCTGTGATACAGCTGCTCTCAGAAGACTTGGGATGTTCTTGGGAAAGTTAGTTTCAAAATTATAGGAATAAATGATGTCAGATGGCTTTACTCACTTGCTTTGGATCTCCACAAATACTAGATCTCTGGACTGTTGAGTGTGGGTTGAAGAAAATAAAATTCTGCCCAGCAGTTTCATCTTTGATGGTTATGATAGAAATGCAGCCCCAGAGGGGCTTGATCTTTGCCCTGATATCAAGATTTTTTCACGGTGCATTGGAAAAGGCTTCTTGGAGGTCTTGATAGAAACTGTGGAGAAAAGCTATCAAGAATTGCCATACTAACACCCCCGGCCTCGGCAAAGGTGCTGCAGGGTGAACTGTTTGGAAACAATTAACGTGCTCTTATACCAACATGACCTTTGAGAGTGCCAAGCATCTTCTATGGGGCCTGTAACTCAAGCATTAATAATGGATTACCAAAAGCAACCAGCTGCAAGGGAACCACTTCTCCCTGCTTAGATAATTCTCCTCCCAGAGAAGAGCTATTGATTTTGATACTGATTCCTTCCTCCCTCGTGAAAGGGCTACACCCCACCATTGCTATCTGTGACAGTGAGCTCTCTCCTGATCTACACAAACCATACACATCAGCCACGTTCCTCTGCACCAGCAGTAGAGACACCCCTCCAACACGACTGAGACTGCTGCTAAAAGCAATGTGCACTTCTATTTTCTCACCAGATGATTCAGTCAGCTTTGCACTTCAGCAGCTGTTTCCCACTAGTCTGCAACAAGTAACATCTCTGAGCACTGTGGAACTGGTTAGACCCACATCAACTTTGCAGCATCCGTAGCACAAAGAGAATGGATGAAAATCAGCTTGGATGATGCAAGCTGGATTGTGCAAGCACCCTCATCTGCTTGTTCTCTTGTATCGCTTCCTTCATCCTTTCTGCTCTAAGTCCATGTTTGTGTTTTACTATTTGTGTTGGAAGTGGTCCTGGGAAACTGATCTAACTGGCTGTGTTTGAGCAGAAGGATTGGACCAGATGACACAGAGGACCCTTCCCATCTCAGCCATACTGTTCCAGTTGCTGGATTTGAGATGGAGTTCTGAGTACCTTTATGACTTGCTAAAGCTACAGTCTCTGCAGGGGATGGAAGGAAAAAGAGGACCTTGAGCTTGTTTACATCTTAGTTTTATGGACAGAACTGAAAACTTGTTTCTGTTTGGTCTTAGGCCAGTCAGAAACAGGAATCACTTGTAAGTTTCTGTAAACAGAAATCTTATTTTTGTCTGCTTTACATAGGAAAGCAGGGCAGGGAGGAGGAGAATGGAAGGTATGCCATCACAGTGTGTGTGTTTGTCACTTACCTTTACACCCAGTGATACACAAACTTGTTGGCCACCTTCAACTATGTTTTAACTGTGGTTGGTAGAAGTGGTCTGAAAGATATAATGAAATAAAGCAATTGGATGCAGCACCACAAACCCACCAACAGACTGAGATAAGGCAAGCCTGCAGCATGTGTTCAACCTTAATGAGACACTGGAGAATCCAGTTGCTGGGTGTGGGGCAGCTTCAAGTCTGAGTTCACACTGCACCAGACATCAGAGAAGCCAACTACAAGAGGCAAATCTCTGGGGAATTGGGGTTCATTAGTATCTCTGCTTGTGGAGTAACTTGTTTTCTTGGAGCATCTTTCATCTCTTTTCGGACACAAGATGTGGAAACAAAGGGCTGGATTCATGGCAGGGCTTAGAGTGCTACTACAGTATGGTGGGAGCAAGGATCCTCTTCCAGATAGCGTGCTGGAATCCAGCAGGGACGATATCTGAGCTGTGGCTGTGTAGATGGGTGCTGAGCCCTCAAGCTGGGTGAGGGAGGTGGTACTCAGACTGGATAGGAAGAGAGGGCTTGTGAATCAGTCCTGAGAAATACCTGTAAACCCTCTTTTATACCAGAAACCTCAAAATGAGATGCTGAGAGCATGAACCTTCTTTCTGAGAAGAATGGACCAAAACGAACAGCTGAAATGAGTCCATGTTGCAGGTAGAAAGGAAGCCCTGGAATTTGCTGTTCTGAGGTATAAAAACTATTTTGACAAAATAAACATCCCCCTCCCCTCTGCAATCTTATCTGCTGCGATCATTCTGCCTCCCGGTGGACCCATCCTCCACAGACATGTCTTCAAAAATGAATTGTATTCAAGTCCACTGTGAAGTTTCTTTATGATGGTACTGTAAATGGACCATAAAGCAACAAATCTATGACCCTAAATTCCAGAATCTGCAAAAACTGCTCTTACTTGGCTCCTGCCCATCTACTGAAGTGCCCAGCCACGGGATACTTGTAGCCATGAGCTACCCGCTCTCCGCAAGCCTGCCCGCTCACCATGTAGCAGCAGGATGCAGAGAGCCAGCTCATGTCTGAAATCCTTGCCTAGAGTCAGATGGTAAGATGGGAAATCCAATCATTTTATACCGGTCAGTGAGTGAACATTGCTGAGCATATGGGTAAGTCAATAATTGGCTTTAATTAAGTAAAAGTTCTTTCATTAATATCTTTTTAAATGGATACTCTACAAAATCTGCCTGGGGGAAATCTCAGGGTTAGAAAAGCCTTATGGTATATATTGCTGCAATGTAACTGAGTTAGGTTGAGATATCAGCAGGGTGAGCATAGGAGGGAATGGGGGGAATGTTTGGAAAGGCAGCATGGAGTGAGACTCATTATCTGCTCTGGACTGAAAGGAACAAGAATATTAGCTTAACCTAAACCTGAGCAAGTCAAATAGATATTTTTGAAGGTAAAAGTATGGTCTGTGGAAGTCTTATGGCTAAACCAGATACTGATTACTTAAACTATCCATCTTACATCACTCATTGTGTCCTGCAGATGGTGGAAGCACAGCTGAACCACAAAATTCCCATCAAGTTCAATTCAAAGCATCCCACCCACGAGTTTCACCATGGACTGACCACTGACATCTATCATTTGAAGCTACAAAACTTCACCCCCAGGCCCAGCTAACATGCTTTGGAGGGTGTTGAGATGGTAAACGCCTTTTCATCTGAGCCAAGGCAAGATTTCGGTTCAATATCAGCAAGTTGACATGTGCTCCTGAGTGCCAATGTCAAACCAAACAGCAAGTACCATCCAATCACGCATCTTAAGCATGCATCAGTGGCATTTTCAGTCCAGTTCCACATGAAGCATAGACACAAGAAGAACAGACATGTTGGTTTCTTCAGGTGAAAAGACAAGCACTGGAAGGAAGGACCCTATCCCCAAAGTGAGCTCATACTCAGAAAGGTGCCAAGGGTTTGTGTATTTCTATGAGCAATGTCTTCTGTTTTCAGGCTCCATTTCCCTTCAGATCCAAGTGGAAAAGGCTGCGTAATCTTCAGACTGAAGCTTTTTATGTTTTAAAGAGAATGGTGTTATAAAGTGTTGGCGGTCTCTTCCTCAGTATTGGCTGTGACAGTCCAGGAGTGGAAGGCTTCTGATTAACACATTGTGCACGTAACCTGACATGTTGCCCAGTTTTAATATGCTCTTTTATCAGGTCATGCTGTCCCTTTGAAGGTTCTTTGCATATTGCCAGAGCACAATATCTACAAACAACTCCTGCTTCTTCCCTTCTCAGTTACTTACACCCATGTTGACAATTTAAACACTGCATTGCGTGATCACCCATGAGTTTCTCTTTTGACTTGTCTTCTCAAATTAAAAGCAAAACAAAGCTAAACAGGAGGCTTCTTCAATGAGACTTACAACTACGGAAACAGTGACCAGCCAAAATGATAAATCTGGCATCTCCTCATTCTTTAGCTGACTTTTACTTGCCTGAATGCTAGGCTGGTGCTCACTGCAATTTGCATTACTGTAAGTAAGCAAAATTCTTGCTTCAACTCATTTGTTTAGTTCAATTTCAAAAATATGAATTTAAACAAACCAGGAATGTTTATTCCCAAATGAGAGTTTGCATAGAGCAAAATAATAGTGAGTAACAGTTTGAGCAGCAACTTGGGCAATTGTATGCACCATCAGAGCATCTTTGTGGCCATAGATCTTCCCTGCATTTGAGGGGTGACCATACAGAGATTTCTGCATTTTTATCTCTATGCAACGGTGTGGACTTGTCTTTTCTTGATAAAACCCTAAAGACTAATTTTCACTGAATGTTATGGATCAAGCAATATTCTATTTATGAACGCTTTGCTTCAGCCAAATACAAACTGTTGGACTCAGTGAGCTTCATGGTCTGCAGTGTAGAAAATATTAACCTAGCTTCCAATTTTATCCTTGTGGAGGTGAGAAGCCTGGGTTTTCACTGCAACTGATGAAAAAGAACAGTCCCTTAGGCAGGCAGTTGTTTTCATCCATCCCGTGCATCTGATTCAGGATGGGTGAAGCAGCTTTGGGCAGCACTCCCTACTGATCCAGGAGGATGCTGGAGTTATTTTCCTGAGTCACACCCAGCGCTCCTCCTTCAGTTATCTGCAAAATTAGTTTTTCTCATGCCAGCTCCTTTAAAATGCAGCTGTCCCTCACAATACTGTTTTTCTTCTGTCATTTTTTTCACACTATTTTCTGTCACATTTGGCAGCTCCTCGTGCCAGGACTGGCACTTCTTATCCTGGTCAGCTCATGCAACGAAAGGCTGAGATCTAATCAGTGGCCAAGTCACCTGCCTACGATCCCAATGCAAATGCTCTGGAAAACACAGCTGGAGGGTTAATGAATTGGCCAAGCCCCATGTCAGAGCATGCAAGGCTAGATGTAACTTGTGCTGGTTTTCATTTCTCTTTTTCCTGGTGCTGCAAGAGAAGGCAAGGCAGATCCTTTGCATGCTCCACAAGATCTTTGCCTCTCCAAGGATCCCCCAACAAATCTCAATAGGCCCTGCATGCTTCCCCCTTGGGCAGAGGTGGAAGCCAACGTCCTGGCTCAACGCATCCAAAAAGGAGCAATCCTACAGCCAACAACTTCTCCTTCCACCCCTGCCTAGGGCTGACCCGGTGGCATTGACTACCTCTTCTGTTGCAAGCAGCTAGATTTTGGCATGCTCCTGTAAGGAAACCCTTTTTTCTTTTCCTCTTCTTCTTCTCCTGCATTTTGATGGGGCTGGAGATCTCTCGGAGGAAGACGCTCTTCCCTTTTTATCAATTAGGAGCACACACGCGCTCTCTCGCTCCCTCTCCCACCCCTACTCTGCTTTCCTCCCAGCTCCCCTTGGCTGCCGATTTCAGACAAAGATGTGTGAGTTCTTTGATCTGCCTGGCAGCCACCGCTGGGGGATTGGCTTGGAGGTTAATTACACACAGGCCGTCTCCAGCTGTGGCAGGAGCCATTCGGCTGGAGAGGGAGCTGTCCCTTCTCCCCCCTCCAGCTACAAACTTCAAGGGGACAGGAGGGCAAGGAAGGTACCACTGAAACCCCTTTTGATATGACAAACGGGCTCCTTGCTTGCCTCTCTGGTTCTTGTTTTGTTTGTCTAACTGGTACTTGAAATATGGATGAGCTCTCAGTCCTGAGGGCCCAGCCACTGTCTTGAAACCAACTGGAGTTTTGCTCTCCTGTCTGTCTTTCTCTGCCTGTCCACGTGTCCTTGTCCAGCAGCCCTCTGCCCACATACCCATGACTAATCCCAGCTCTCAAGGAGAAGCAAAACCTGGACCCTGTGTTTGAGCAGCTGTGCAGAGATGAGGAGCCTCATCTGCTGGAGGAGAGATGAGTTGGTGGCTGCTGCCCGGGAGGTTTGCATTCTGTCAGTCCCTCTCTCTGTGCCTGAAATACTCAGAGATTTTCTTCTGTTTATTCTTCTCTTAAAGCCACTTAAATCCCTCTGTGCCTCGGTTTTCCAATCTTCATAATAAAAGCAAAATACGTTTATCTGCTCCTCAGGGTTGGATTGAGGCTGATTGATTTGCTTGTCAAACATCCCAAACTAAATAGTGTGGCACAAGAGAGCTGTTGGTATAATCCCTCTGTATTAGCAAAATCCCTCTCAAAAGGAGCTTACACAGATGCTTCAAGGCAGGTAGAGATGGATTTCAGATGCTTTTCAGTGGCTCCTAGGCATCTCTCTTGGCCTCTGAACTCTCACATGATATTCAAGTGTGGGCTGGGGTCCCCATGCAGTGAGATCTGCAGCTGACAACAGCCTGCATCCTAAGGACATTACACAACCTAAACTAGATCTATCCGGGAGTGCAAACTCATATTTAGATTTGCACTCCCTTCTGTGCAGACTAAGGGAAAAATTCAAATGTTTCTCGTTCAAACAGTGTATCTGTAGTAGTCAAGAACGACAGCCAGTCTGATTGCATGTCAGTGGAAGCCATCAACTATTTGCAGCAAAACATGCCTGTCTTGAGACCTTGCCTGAAGCCAACATGCTGTTGTACTCATCTGGATTGTGAGCAGATCTGGGAGCTAAAAGGCAGAAAGCTCACTTGTGCACAACCATTTTGCTGACTAGTAGAAGTTTGAGTGCAAGGACCTGTGGGTCTGTAGCAGAAATGCTAAGTGATGGCCTGAACCAGTGATTGAGCACCTGGTGGGAAGGCAGGGCCAACCCAGAGGAGCTCAGGTGCATGCAATGTACTGGAGTTACCAGAAGGGGTGGAGACAGGATCCACCCCTTCCCAGTGCTCATTTAAGGGTTGGCAATGGAGGTGAGGATATCTTTCTGGAGATTCCTGCTTCTGGAGGCTTTCTGAAGGTAAGTAGCTTATTTTGTTTATTTCTGTGCTTGCTGCTGTTGTATTTGAGCAAACTCCTGCTTGCTGCAGCCTATGTCTTTGGTGCTCTTTCCATTACGTTGCAGAGTTCTACGTGCATCCCTTTGGCATTTGAACTACTGAGATGGGGGTGCTGTTGTCTTGCACAGATACCAATGTTGTGTCTAATGCTGATGTCCTGGTTAAATAAAGAGTAGCTGAGCTTTCCCTTCCATTTCTGTTTCCTTCTTTATCACTCTCATGCTGCTGGTTGGAGGACAAGCAGCTGAACTACTGTCACCTTACATCCCCAGAGCTACTCATGGGAGCTAAGGGGCTGGGAGTGGCATCCAGGGCTATGTGTGTCCTGGTGGGAGGAGACTGTACGTCCTGTGGATTGAGGCATGTGAGGTCATACCCAGCTCAGCCCACTGTGCTGAGGAGTTGATATGTGCTGCAAGGCTTTTCATGGGTTTGTGATGAGTAGAGACACCGCTGAAGTTTTACAGAATGTTCTTTTTCCCAGGGAGACAGCCAGAACTGACACTTTGAAGATGCTTGACAGCTCCAAGAGATGAGGCTAGCTAGAGGATACAGGCATACAGCCCCCAGCTGCAGGCAAGAAGGAACTGATGTCGTTTAGCCTCAAGTGCTACTTGGGGCTGATGGCACTGGGTATGTGTGGGTGAAACACAGAGTGACCTTCTCCCTTATGTCTGTGATAGGATAATGAGTGACAATCAGCTGTCCCTGTTTGTGCTGTCCAGACCTCCTTAATGTGTTGCATAGGTGACAACCTGTTGTGATGCCCTCTCCTGTCGGCGAAGCTGCTGGGTGGACAGGACTGGTGCTTAAAGGCTCTTTGCAGACAGCATTGAGGATGGGCATCCACCTCCTTGGGGTCTGTTGAGAAGGCTGAAAGGTGGATGCCTGCGTGAACCAAGTGTCTCCACACCCACTCCTCAAACAAAATCCATTTCCTTTCTTACCCCTCACAGTAGAGCTCATAATAATTTAACAAATAAGGGTATCTGCTTATACTGAATTAACACTTTCAGTGTTTCTTTTGGTCTTCTGGGAGGGTTTTCCCATTTCTCACGATATACTTTGTCTTCTGGGTGGCTATTCCATATATAGTTCTAGCCCTTTAAGATCTAAAGGTTGTTTGACACAGTAAACATCCCAAAATCATATCAGGCAGAGAGGCTTGGGGGGGGAGTAAGAAAAGATCAGCTTTTGTTTTGCCCTGGGGTAACTATGATGCTCTTATCCTGGAACATGTGAATTTGGAGTCTTGAGCTATTTCATGAAAGTCTGAAGCTTGTTGGAGGATGGAGTGGAGTTGTGAAGTCTGCAGAGCATCTAGTATTTGCTTTGTGATTTGTTCTGATGATTGGATATCATACTCCAGCCCTAGGGAAGTTAGAGATTGCCCTCTGTGCAAAACCATCCCAGCCAGCAATTTCATGGATACAGGCACTACAAAGTAGTTGTGTTGGGAACGAGCAGTGGATGAACAAACTCAGCCCTGTGAGAGCACTTCTCTCCAACACGCAGTGCTTAACTCTACCTCATCTTAAATCTGAAAGACGCTACTTCTGCAAATCTCACACACCTATTGCAGCCCAACAATGCTGTTCAGTAGAGATAACCACAAAAATTACATATCCTTGGCTTGCTGACCTCCTCTGGATGACATGTGAATATCTAGGAAACTTTTGCCCATAAATCCATTTTGATAGAGCATAGAACATACTTGTAACTATTAATTCCCCACTGTAAATTCAATTTCATGGAGTGTTTCTCCTCAAGCTGTCTGCAAATGAATATACTCAACAATATCTCTAAAAAGACTTTTGTCTTTGTCTGCCTGAAGGACTTCTGTGACTATAGGGATAGCTTTCATACAGCTCGTTGCATGTATAAACCCTCCAAGCAGACTTGCCTCCATAGATCCTTCCCATGTTTATACATGCAATGAGCTGTATGAAAGCAGCTCTCCAGCAATGTGTAGGAAGGCATGAGGATAGAAATAATCTTCACTGGGGTTATGAAGGTCAACAGTGCCCATAAGAGCATTGTGTTGGGGCAGCAAGTAGGGTGCAAGCTCCTCTGGCATGAAGTCACAAAGCTCTCACTGGAGCTGCCTTCCTCCTGCCAATCTATGTAAGTGCTTCTTCCCTGCCTTTTCCCTTAAGTCACATCTCAGCTTGTGCTAGGTGACACATCTCACTGCTCGTAAGCACTGCTTCACCTGCTTGCTCTGAAGTAAGGGAGGCCCTGAGAGCAAATCCCCCCAGGGAGGTCTCATCCAGGGAAGGAATGGTTAATCTCCTGAAGCTATGAACCCTGGTGGGCCTTTTTTTTTTCTGCAATAATGAGAAGTGGAGTGTGCACATTGCAGTGTGATTATTACCTGTTTATTTTTTCATGAGGCTTCTCCACTGTATGTCACTCCAGTGTCATCATCTGTAAACACATTGATTTAACCATTACTTTGGAGCAGCACTTGCCTGCTCCGCAGACTGGATACCTGTCCCCTGAGGGCACCAGGAGTGACAGAGGGCTGAGAGCTCATCCTTGGGCTCTGCTTCACTGTCTGCAGCGCTCATCTCTCCTCTCTACTCTTCCTCTTCTCTGCCCTCTTATCCACTCCTCTTCCCATTCAGCTTTCTGCTCCCTTTGTTTTGGCCACCAGCCCCGTCTGCTGCCCCAGCCTCGTGCTTTGAAGATGCAGCAGCAGCTTGGAACATCCCACCTGCAGACATCCCACAGGGAACAGCGCCAGGTGGTCTTCACCTCCTCTCCTCTGAAGGTGTGTGAGCAATCCAACCTGTACTTTCTGCATTGTGGAACAGGCTGCCCAGGGAGGTGGTGGATTCATTGTCCCTGGAGATGTTCAAGAAAAGGGTAAATGTGGCGCTGAGGGACATGGTGGGATGGGTTGATGGTTGGACTAGGTGATCTTAGTGGTCCTTCTCAGCCTTAATGATTTTAAGATTTAGGGAAAATGTGGTTGCTGTGTGGAACATCCTAAGAGGGTACCCCAGAGAGGTCCCTGAGCTGCTTCTCCCTGGGGAACAAGAACAAGGGAACTGACCAGCTCATTTCTAGACTATTAACCATTAACATAATTAACCACTGGAGGTCTGAAACTGTACCACTCACGTCTGCAGGTGGTGGCATATGGAGCACCTGGGCACTGCTCTGCCCTCAGTCAGCCTGAGCTGGGAATTAGGTACCATTATAAAGCTAAAATCCACCCATTATGGATTGGAAGAGTTGGAGGAAGCTCTCAGAAACCAACCAAGCATTAGTGCCTAGAGTGTTTATAGGGTTATATATACCCTAAGCCATGAGCAAGACTTTCCTCTCTTGTCCTGCCCCTGCATCTGTAAAACTCCACCCCATAGGGAAGGGAACTTTCCCCAGACTGTGTGCAAATCAGAGATGTATTGAGGTAGGAGGGCTGGCTGGTGGAGCTGTCATATTGTACGTGCTGCCACGTATAATATAAAGGACTTGATTCAGACCTTTACACCTTAAGTGAGTACAAGGGGGTTAATGTGCAGGGCTATGAAGCAGCCAAAACTGCTGAAGAGCAGCTCTCTGTGCCATTATTTTAGTTTCATAGTGGTGTTTCTTGCCACAGCTACTGCACTCTACTCTTTCATGCAGTGCTCTTTAGAGCCAGCCAGGCTCAGAGCCTGTGGTGCCTGTCTTCACTGCCATGCTTGTGCAGAGGGAAAGCCTCAGGAGAGGCAGAAGACATTCTGATTTATTTTTATGACTTCCACAGACAAACTTGGAGAAGATAAAATGGGGGAAGAATCTTGGAACTTGAACCCTTTTAATAAATTAACTACACTGGTTCTTCTTCCCTCTTGTGATGCCCATGGCAGACAAGTGCCAGGAAGACTCCTGGCTCCTCAGTCATGCCCCATTAGTGCACTAGTTTGTTCTGGGCTTATCTTGGAGGAAGGGCTCAGAAGGATAGTGGGCTGTGAAGCAGAATCAGGGACATCCCAGGGTGATGCTTTGGCACTGTGAGCCATGTTTCATTCTTTGATTGGCATAAAGGTCACCAGGAGGCATGCCCAAGTGATGCTAACCAGCAGAGGAATGAGGACTGCCAAGGTGGTCTTGGCTGTCTCCACGAGAGTGCTGCCTGCTGAAGTGTCATTGTGCTAAGTGATGCTAGCTGTTTCTTCAGCCCCGAGTCACATCAAGATGCTGCTCTTGGGCTCTGCTTTGCTCTAGAAGTTATTCAGTGTGCTGTGAGCTGCTGCTTTACTTGCTCAGAGCAGCCCCTATTCCACCTCTGCAATGCTACGCACATGAATCCATTAAAGCCTCTGCAGTGCTCCAGAGCTGAAGGACCTAGCAGTACTGTGCTAAAATGGCTTTGCTAATCCCTACTGTTCAAGAGGGAATCAGCAACAGTCCCTGAGGGACCCTTTTGTTCTGCTATCGAGGCCCTGGGCTTCTTAGCTGAGTGTAACAACTCTGAATGCTTTCTCAGGAGCGCTCAGTGTGCATTATTTATCATTGTCAGGATTGTTACACTTCAGAGTCACGTTCACCTGCCCATTGCATCCTGCAGGTATTGCGGGATGATGCAATGCTTTCATGGCTACAGTAGCTCTGGTGCATGGCCTCATCCTGCAGTAGTATGGGGTTAGTATGAGGGTGGCAAGGCCATGACAGATCCAGACTTTTCTCTACTAAAGAAAGATCCCTACACAGAAGTGAGGGATTCTGCAGGCAGTGTTGTGTTAGGCGAAGAGTCAGGAAAGCGTTCAATGAGGCCAGAGGATGAAGAGGAGACAGTGAGGAGGGCTTGGGG